AAAATCGTCCACATTCAATGCACCTGTTGAGATAACCGCCGATCTTGCCGTCGGCGGCCTTCTAGAATATTTAATTCTGAACTCTCGGAAAAAACCCGTCGTCGGCGTCGTTGGGCTTGCCGTCGGCGTCGTGGGGCTCGCCGTCGACGCCCTAGTTAAAATCTTCATATTTTGGTCATTTTCGATCCAAATTCACTCTTTTTTTGCATCTTTTTGCTCAAATGACCATAATTCAACATACCTGCAATAAAACATCAAACATATCCTTCTTTAAAGTGCAATATCATCAATATTAGTATAAAATATGTATGAAAATCTCAACATATTTTTCTTTGGTCAGTGAGAAAAAGAAAAAAAACAAAGATTTATGATGAAGAAAATGTGTCTGATTTTTATGAAAAAAGTTTTTTTTTTCATAGAAGTACAAGTAAGGAATTTATATAATAACTCTTCAAAGGTCATGAAAAAAAAAAAAACTCAAAGAAAACTGTTTATATTAAAATAAGGCCAAATTTATAAAATTTAAAAATCTTAGAATACTTCCAAATAGAACGCTATTTCACAAGAAGACTATCTATAGAAAGAGGCAAAGCTTATAATATGATTCTTTTAGCTAGGCTGATTGAGGGATTTTCAATTAAAATTGTTGCTTAATAGAAATGAACAAGTTCAAAAGGAGTAAAGGTGAAGGTATAAGACTTAGAAATGGTAGATATAATTCATTTTATAGTTCCATTATTTTAAATTTTTATTATTTTGTGAGTTCCTAGTCTTGAAGCTAACTAATCCGACTTGACTTGATATCCTTTGTTAATTGTATGAACATCATTGTTTAATAAAATTTAACAGATTCAAAGCGAAGAGATAGAGGATTCCTAAACTCTATTAGATGGAGTGAAAGGAATATCAGACTTACTCTTCTTAGAGCATAAGACGAAGCCTATGATAGGAAATAATATGGATTTTTTAACTATTTTTAGTCAAAATATCCAAATAGGACATAAAATCTTATGTGAATTATAATTGCCATTATCAGTGGAGCAAGTTCAATGAATCATGAGGTCAAGCAACATGTTAGATGTGATATGAATGATATAATGGTATTTATTCTTAAATAAGTTTACTTGACTAATATGTTTGAACATATTATACTTTTGTGAAACAACTAAGCTTATGATTCTCCTTTCTAAAAGGTGTAGATATACAAAGATAAGAAAGCAACTGCTATCATGAATTAAGTCTTCCTAAAAGTCATTTATTTTATGTTTTTTGTTCTATACTAAACAAGTTTTATGGCCACAGAAGGATTTAAGAGTTTGTTTGTGATAGCTTTATGCATGTTCTGTGTTTTAGATTACCACCATAGTTTGTTTGAGGAATTGTTTTTTTATTATTTTTTTTTAGAATTTTTTTTATGGTAAACAATTTTTTTTTTAATATGACTTATTAAAGTGTAGTGACTGTAAGAAAGCTGTTGTATTATTTTTGAAAAAAAAAAATTATTTATAATTCTCATCCGAGCTTACGAGAAACATATTTTCTCCACCACGGCTTTATTTTTCTTTCTCAAGTTGAGGCTTAATGAATATAATAATGAAGATAAACAATACTTGGTCTCTAATGTTTGCCTTCCAAGCCATCTTTCATAATAGAAAAATTATTAGATCTCAAGTAAAATATTTGAATATTATATGTAAAATTAATAAAAAATATTAAATAGTTATTTATAAAATAATTGGTTTATTATAAATTTGCAAAATTTTCCTCATTAGTATTATGATTAAACAATAATATAAGGACATATGAATGATCAATTAAGATGTTACACAATAATATATATTAAAAAAAAATATTCTTATAAGCAAATTGACCAACATATTTTGAAACCCTTATTTTTTTACTAAAATTAATAATATTAATTACTGATATATTAATTACTGATAACATTGTATGATATCCATAATCAACAATGAAAATAGATTCATGAAAAGAGCTTGGGAAATAAACAATTAAAGAGTGACAAAGATTTAAGTCTAAAATTTCTCTCTTTAAATTTTTTAAAATTATTACAAATATGATTAGTAAATTAAATATATAATTAATATTAAATTTTTATTTAGTATTTAATTAATGAAGCATAATTTTCACCTCTGAAATTTTATTAATTTCTTTAAAATTCTCTAATATTATAACGTGTCGAAATATTTCTGACTATTTATATTAGACCATTCTAGCTTCCGACTTTATAGAAGTCTCTAAATATTTCCCAGACTTCTAAAACAATTATAATTCAATTTAAAATAATTAAAGGCAATGAGTGAAAATCACTCCCCATAAATTCACTTTTATTATTCACACCCCATAAATTTACTTAATTACCTTTTCTCCATAAGCTTATACAAAATTAACAATTTATAAATCTAGCCGTTGCCGGAGAGGCCATTGGTCCCTGAAATGCCATACCTGTTTCTTTCAAGCAAGCCCATAAGCACCACCTTCCTCTTATACTCCGACGAATCCAAATCCACCTCCTTCGCCGTCCCCGGGAGGCGGGGCCGCCGAAGCCGCCGGCGTTGGTACTTGGGATAGGAGATAGAACCACGCACAATTGCATAACACGGCGCAGAGACGGCCGAAGAACAGCATCACGGCCAGCGTGGCCGCCACCATGAGGAGTGCCGCCACCGCATCGAACCGGCGGGCCGAGCGCGCCGGCG